AGCGGAGCCGCGTCAGGCTCGCCGCCCTCCCCCCGGCACTCTGGCCCGTTGGGGAGGAGCGGCCTGCGGCCAGGCTCGGTGCCCTCCCCTGCTGCGCTGGGGCGGGGGAAGCTTTTTTGCTTGGGACGGCAAAAAAGCCAGAGCCGGCCCTGAGGGGAGGAACAAGCTGTATGCCCAGAGGCCTTTATTCCTCCAGCCTGCAAGGACATAGGGGATGTCGGGAAGTTGCCCCTTCAATCCCCCCCACACAAAGGCTCTTCTTATGAAAGGTAAAATCCTGAAAAGAAAAAGTAACATCAAAGAGGACTACGGAAAAACAGGTTTTTAAGACCCTGGTAGTAGTTTATCACCTGACCAGGGACTTAAACCCTGGACCTTCAGATTAAAAGTCTGATGCTCTACCAACTGAGCTAGCCAGGGTCACACACACACAAAAAATCAAACCCCTGTGTAGCTAACTGGAATGAATACAAACACTCTCTTGTAGCTGAAGAGCTGTTTAGTTTTAACCTTGGTAAACTACAAGACTAAAGGGAAAGATGGTGGTGCCAGATATAAAGAGCGAAACACGAAACAATCATCATAGCTATGCCAGTAGTGACTGAAAAATCTTTCTATATTCTTATTATCATCCGCATATTATTTGCTCTGGAGTCTAGACATTGACTATACCTTGACCAAGAAATTTGGATCTTGATAAAATAATTGACTGGCCCTGGGCAAGGCAATGGACTTGACACCCACTCGGGTGTCCCCATGCAGGTTCAAGTACTAACAACAGTGGCTACCTTTTTGTCAGAGCTTTTAATCAGGGCAATAAATTGATACGAACTCCTGTAAAATAATTTCCCAGCCGGAGTCCTTCACCCACATTCATTAGGGCACTGGGCCACCATGTGGACGTTTCATTTCCCTCCTCAATTTCACACAGAGACACAATTTCATTTGCACAGACCCATGAACAGCAAAACCTCCCTGTGTCTCTTGTCTGAGCCAGGGCATTCAATTCTATTGAAACCTTCTCTCCTGCAATGGCAATGGTCAGACAGAGGGGACGTGGCCACCTTCATCACCTCTGACAGTGAGCTATTGGCTCGGCTCCTTCTTTATGCTGCTTTTATAGTCCATGGAACATCAAGGATGGAATGCAAGGCTGAATTCATGCAGCAACCCCCTGAAAAATGTCAGTGCCCCAGAGAAATCCTGACCCCTGCTATTGGAATGATATGCTAGACATTTGAGTAGGAAACGGACTGTCTGCATTGTCAAAGTGGGGCGTGAACAACAATCTATAGCAATGTCGTTAACCACAAACACACTCTAATCATGCTCCAGCTGGAAGGGAAATGGGCAGGAATTCTTGCTGTTCAGCCATGGACAAACTTACACTAATGCACAGCTGTGAGTGTGCTGGGGGCGCTGGTCTGAGCAAACAATTTGAAGTGACAATTCAGTGAGAACAGAATCATTGTGTAATGAAACAATTGTATATCGAGTAGTTGTGTCTGAGTGGTTAAGGCAATGGACTAGAAATCCATTGGGGTTTCCCCATGCAGGTTCGAATCCTGCTAACTATGGAGGCATTGGTGTATTGTCATTGCTGTCATCTTAATATTGAGCATCCCCAATGCCAAACTGTAGCCACATCTGGTCTCAGTCTTGGGCTGGCCTCACTTAAAATGCCGTTGTGATACTGCTATAGCAGTTTGGAATAGACAGTTGCTACAATAAGTAGAGGAGTTTTTCATCCCTCTAATAGCTACATTGACAAAACCATCTTTCTTTTCATTTAGCACTATCTAACCAGGGTTTAGATCAGCTTAACTATACTGGTTCGGGGTGTGTGGATTTTTCAAACCTTGAAAGATGTACTTGTTAGAGTGACCCTCCCATTCCCTGGTCCTTCTCGCATGAACAGAGAGCAGCAATACCCGAAGTTCAAAGGTGCAAACAATTAGATGTTTATTGGGGTAAACTTCCAGCAAGCAATTATTTCAATTTCCTTCCTCAGTATCCGCCTTCCCAGCTCTGACACCACAGAGCCTTGCCTGTGTCCCTGCCCCCATCCCCCCATTAGGAAAACATAATTCCAATTCCCCACACACTTCCTGATTGACTGCAGGCTATATAGTAAAATTTGCATTCTGCTTAGCTATATCTTAACCAATCATTTTACTGAAATTTAACTAACCAATCCTAACATATTGTAACATGATTATCTAACCAATTATATCCCACCACCTTAACTGGTTTACACCCAAGAAAGTACTTATACATCAGAAACAATCACAGAACCAGACAGAGATTATACAGACAAACAATAGGGAAGTGGGGACTACAGTGATAGAACAACAAAGAAATGAGGATTTCACACCCCAGCTAATGAGTTGTTGCCAGACAGGATGCATCATGGTAGAGGTTGTGGGTGCTGGTTGCTTAACTATTTGGCCCGCAGGGCAGGATTTTGAGGTTCCCCATTACTTTTTCAGAATGCTAGCAACCATCTTTTGTTCACTTAAAACGTGAGCAGGGAGATTACACCACCTCAGAACTCATGGAGCTCTAGGAAACGTGAACTTTAGGGCCAGGTGAGTGTGTCTAAAAATCAGCTGTGCTGTAGAAGGTCCCTAGAAGTTGAAAGAGATGTGCCATCTCGACCTCCCTAAAGAGTTCATCAAATATTAATGAAAACTAGGGTTGATAAATTATATTTTTTGTAGCATCAGGATGGTGGACTGGTCTAAAGTGCTAGTTTTAAGACTCTTTTTTCTTATCTCTTGAGTGTTCTGGTCTCTGCATAGAGACGTGGTTTCAAATCCCACTCCTGACATGACCATTTTCTTCTATCTGGAGAAAATGGCCTCACTTCAATCTCCTTTGCAACAATGGAATACCATTTTCTAAGCATTTCTATTACAGTAGTTGTGAGAGACGTTCCAAACCAGGGTGAAACACTGCCTTTTCTCTCTACCGATCAATTTTTGTCTTCCTTCATTCCAAGCCATTTTCTCAAATACATCCATCTTTCCCACACTTTTTGGTTTAGTGTTCTTTGCTTTTATGAAACTTTAGGCTCATTTAATTGCCACACAACTGTACTTATGAAGTAAAGTGAAACACAATATTGTTTTGATATGTTTGCAGAACAGTTTTGCTTTCTGACCTGGAATTGAACAGGGGCTACCTGAGGGGGACAATGCTACTCCCTTTTCTTGACTCATCCAAAAAAGGTAAGTTCTTGGTACCCTTTGTTTCCCAGTTCTTCAAAGGAAATCAGCTAGTGTAGTGGCTCATGAGAGAGCCTTAGAAAGGGGTCCCAAAAATGACAGTAGTTGGTTTCTGTAGTTTAGTGGTTATCATATTTACCTAACATACAAAGGTTGCTGGTTTAAAGCCAGGCAGAAACAGTGCTGCTTTCCCTCCTTTGGTCTTGTATCACTCCAAGTCCTCTCTCAACTACATCCATAGCTTCTATGCTTTCTTCCTCATTGTTTTTTTCCTTTCATGGAACTTTAAGTTCAAAAAGAGAGGGTTAGTCTGCATTTGAGGGAAGGAATAGACCATCATTTGGGACATTGCCAGCTACATAACAAATCTGAGCTTAGAAGAATCCCAACCCTTTGTCCTGTGTATTTAGTTCCCAGCCAGCAGTTTCCCCCTCACTTTTGTTTATGTTAACTACAAACAGCCTCATGTATCCTTTTCATGTCAGAGAAATCTATTGAGTGATGATCACATTTCCGCTACTTTTTTGGCTAGGCAGGGTTGGGGGTATGAGGAATCAGAACATAATAATTGGAACTCTCTAACCCGTCCTTTTAACATACAACATCACAGTCCCCTTTTTAAATAACATTTTTCCCATAATATTTTTGAACGCTCATCATCTTGCATGTCTTCAAATGATGTTAACGTAATCTCTGAGCTACAAATTTCCTTACTGTTCCATTGGTATTTTTAGCACAGTATATTGATTTTTATTGCCATCTTGTTTTACTCTCAGGCTGGTTTTTATAAATCATCACAAATGCAGTAACAAGGAGTTAGAGAAATATACAAGAAATGAATACAGTGTGATCCAGTCGATAGGCTGACCGTCCGCAGCCTGAAACAATCTGCATGAGAATAAAGAGGGCTGGGAAGGATATGACGCAGAAGTATTTATATGCCCAATGCAGGGATGGAGCCAATGTAGGAAGAAGTAGAGAAGCTAAAGATCGCTGAAGGGGGACAGTCAGCTCTGGATGAGCTTTTCACGTGTGGCTAGCAGGGATCTTCCCTGATACCAGCCACGCCTTGGGGGGGGGGGGAAATAACGTGATCATCCAGAGAATTGGATGGGGAGGTTAGTTTTTTTCTGCTGCTGAATGTTAACAAGAAAACCACAGCACTCAACGAGCTTTGCTTGGTATGTGGGAAAGGAGGGCACAGAAGCTGAAAGACAATGGCTTACCCTGGCCGCATGCAAGCCGAATTCTGTTGCCCGTACCTGCATCTGTGATCTCTAGCAGCAAAGCCACAGGCACTCAATATTAAGAGGCAAAATGCGACCTTGCACAGAAATCACATGTGCTATGTAATGTGAATAGTGTTGGTCACCGTGAAAGAGTATAAGCATTGTTCTGTAAAATGTATCTTTTAAAAAAATTCTCTCCTTTTTTCCCTCCCTCCCACAACTGCAAATTTTTCAAGCCTCCCTCCTCCGTCCCGAAGGCTATCACAGATAAGGCATCGGAAAAGGAGGACGCGAGACAAGATCTTCGCGGAGATAATGGAATCCACTCGCAATGAAAGAGCTCATCTAAATGAGTGGAAGGACATGGTTTCAAAGTATAGGAAAGATGCCAGTGAACGTGAGGACAGGAGGGACCAACATGAGGACAGGAGGGACCAACGTGAGGAGAGATGCTCGAGATGAGAGGTGGTGGCAGGAAGATTATAGGAGTCAGGATGCAACGCTGGGGCTGCGCTGTGTGAGCAAACACACATGCTCCGGCGTCTGGTGGAGCTTCAGGAATGGCAGCAGGATCACAGACTGCCACTGCAGCCCCTGTATAACCACCCTGCCCCTCACCATGTTCCATAGCCTCCTCACCCAGACGTGTAAGAACGCGGGGGGGGGGGAGGCTCTGGGCACCCTCCCATTCCACCCCAATGGACAGCCCAAGCAAAAGGCTGTCATTATTTTAACTTTTTTTTAGTGGCCTTTTCCTTCCCTCCGATCCTCCTCCCAAATCCCACCCGGGCTACTTTCTCAGTTGCCCCTCCCCACTGCCCCAAGCGGGACATGGGCACGGAGTCCTCGCCCCCCCCCAGCGGGACACGGTGCTCAGCCACCACCCCCGTCCTGAGCACTTTTTGGCCCCCCCCGGGACTCCTGCCCCATCCAACCCCCGTGTTCCTTGATGCCCCCCCCGGAA